TTTTGTTATGGCTAAAAACCATCTACAATTTACATTGGCTGAATATTTCGGAAAATAATGAGACCTAAGAAAAAAGTTCTCTGGACGAAGAGACAGCAATACATATTTTTGAGTTTTTGTCCTTTTTGAAAACAGAAATATTTCCAAGAAGATCAAAATCGTAGCCGCTGTAAAACCGGGTAAAACAAGAAAGCTAGCCTCTGACTACAGGATCATCGCGCTGGTAAATGTTTGCTACAAAATACTCGAAAGATTCATAGATAAACACGTTATAGTATTTCAAAGCGAATAAATCAACATGTTCACGTCGAACAAGCTAGCTTTAGAAAAACAGAAGCTGTTGCGAACAAGTCTTCTCGCTCACTACTCATTCATATTGAGAGGACTTTCCAGGCCGGTCTAAAAAGATCAGAGTTCTTACCTCGGGTTTTGGTCTGGAGAGACGGAATGAAGTCAAAGTTTATCAAAATCTTTCAGAGTGAAAAATTGGCCAATTTAATAAACAACATGCTCTCAAACTCAATAAGAGAAATATCCAAGCTAAAAGTTTGTGCACGGTGTTAGTTAAAATTGTTTTGTGATTACCCTTTGGAAAAATAAATTTGCATAAAAGCACGGTAAGTTTGTTTTAATGATTTTTATCGATTTTTTTTTCATAGCAGATAGAGATTATTTTTTGAGAGATGTTTTCATTTTGGAAGACAGGTAATAAGAATATTTCATATTTATCGGCATTATTGCTATTCCATATTACCTACTGACAAAAAATGTATAACCTGTAAGTAATCAACCTGTAAAAAATGTGTAAAATGTGCGCAATCTCCAGTGAATGGGCTGACGAAGCGTACGCCAGAGAGAAAGATGTTTTTGTTTCCGATTTATGCAACTCACTAGATATCCTCAGTGGTTTCTTTGTTCAAAATTAGAAACCTTTTAGTGAAGAATTTTACGTGTACTAGCTCTATTCCATTTTACCCTACCTGACCATTCCATATTACCCTCCAATTTTTTTAATATTTTCTTGAAAATACCGAATACGCTTTTGTAGTATCTGATACTGGTTGACGATACTTGTGACTTTTTATTTACGATATATTGCCCCCAGCTCCAAACACAGATTAGATTCAACATTATTACTAAATAACTGATTTGTATTTCGCATATGCCGACTTCACTCTATTATTATTAAATAACATACTGCACAAGAGATCGCAAATAGCAGATAGGGAACAAACGCCAAGACACTTACAACAACTGCAATGGCCCTAAGATTCAGTGGCAGAATATTGCTGTGTTGTCTGCATAAACAGTAATCACACTCACGTTATTAACAGTCGCCTTAACAGCGCGAAGAAAATTATAACCTATCAGAAGTATTTTGGTCTAATGGTTCCCCGCATTAGCAAATATTACTCCCCCTAATTTAATAAGACAAGCAGCCCTGGGGCTTGGTTAGAGAGTGGCAAAAGTGCACCAGCAATGTACATCTTCCCATCCATGAGGATTGCGGAAATGTTTCGAATGGTCCAGAAAACCTCAATGGATAGGCTAGTAGCTACTAAATACTAACTTTGTGTTGAATATTGTTGATGAAATGAATGGCCATAAAACAATCCTTATCTACATCACTGATAACTAAGCCAGTACTCTGTCCGCCGGATTCAACTTGCCAGAAAATAAAGTAATTAAGGCTTGTTGAAGTATTACCTGCAGCTGATCATGTAGTTGATATTGGCGTAACAACAGAATAAATGTGGTTAAAAATAAACAACAAAGAAAAAAATAGAAGAGAAACTAAAAATGAAAGAAATCTTGGAATCTGGAAACCAAACTGCTATTATTTATTCTATATGTCAATGAACTGCCATCATATCTTTCAAGCAAGGCGATTGTGCAGTATGCCGATGATACTACCATCCTTGATAGTCATAGACATGCTGATCATCTCCATTTAACATCTAATGTATCCACAATTGAAGGTATTCAGACATGGTTTGCTGACAACAACCTGTGTCTGAATCTTCGACCCTTTTTTTACTACGAGGGTTGTCAGAGATCGTCCCGCTGGAAGTAACCCGTACAGCATGGGAGTGTTCCAATCAAAGCTGTCGTACGGGTTGCTGTTTTGGCGAAATTCTGTAGACTGGCCGAAAGTCTTTAGAACAGAAAAATATTAACATTACCAGTCCTCTATATACAGGGTGTTTCAAAAAACATGTGCCATCTCTCGTGGAGAGATTCATCACGTAAAAATTAGATCTATTTTTCATATCAACATAGGTCTAATTCTGCTTTGTTTCGTAGCTACAGGGTGTTAAGTCTTTATATTTTTTTGATTTATTATAATTTTCTTCCAAGTTCTTTTAGTGATTTAGTGAAATTTTGAGGGTAAAAGTTACTATAAGAGCTACATATCTTAATGCTAAAAAACTGTCGATAAATTCATCAGGGACGTGCATATGGCTTTTCATTGGAATATTTTTTTCAAAAAAAAAAACATGGGCGCCACTGACTTTTTTCTTTTGATATAAAAATTGTGTAGGCCGTTTAATACCAATTAAAAGTTATCTCTTGGTATTTTGTCGAATTCGGCCACTTTGATGAGATAAACGAAATTTTATTAATCGCAATTAAAATTTATTATATTATATTAATGTTACATCAACCTGCAGTAATTGCAACATACAGAAAACATAATTTTAAAAAGTTTTAACATTAACTCTAAACTATGCATTTCCATATGTACCCATGTTTATAGGAATTTTTTTTCATATTTCTTGATGAGGAATCAACGTGTGCTGATTTAAAACTTTCGCAAGTTAATAATATTAAATTTTTTTAAAGGTCGTTATTAGACTTGGATCAAGGCAAATTAATAAAATTGCGTTTATCTCATCAAGGAGGCCGAAATCGACAAAATATCAAGAGACAACTTTTAATCGGCATTAAACGGCTTAAACTATTTCGCTAACAAGAGAAAAAAGTCAGTGGCGTACATGCTTTTTCTAAAAAAATGATTCCAGTGATGACCCATAGGTATGCACGTTCCTGGTGAATATATCGATACCTTTTTAGCTTTAAAATGTCGCATTTATAGTAAATTTTACCCTCAAAATTTAGTTCGAAACGCTAAAAGTACTTGGAAAAAAATTATAATCAATCGAAAAAATATTAAGATTTTAACAACATGTAGCTACGAAACAAAGCAGAATCGGATCTATGTTGATATGAAAAATAAAAGTTATTTTTACGTGAGGAATCACCTCACGAGAGATGACATATTTTTTGAAACACCCTGTATATCAGTGTCTAACTTAAATGAAAAGAAATAATGAATTTGCCATCGCATCGATAGCAGACATAGTTATGTAACCAGACATGGTGACAACCAATTAATACAACAGCATCGACTGTCTTTGATGCACAACAGCTACATTTGTAACAGCATAAAATTATACAACGCTTTACCGCGTGACATAAAAACGTCAACTTTTGTATTATTCAAAAAATAAATTAGGAATATCCTCTTAAATGTATGTCCTTATTCATTGGAAGAATTTTATGAGGGTTCTTCCAGTGAATGGGAAGTATATTATTTGTAAACTTTTGAATTGTAAACAAGTGTTTTGGTTCTATTGAACATTTCCTGTGACAATGCAAAACATTTTATGTAATTAAGCAAATAAAAGATTTATTATTAATAAGTTATTATTATTATTATTAAAAGAAGAAAGTCTCAAAAGCAGCAAAATTCAAATTTTTAACAATGTCGAAATAAACCACCTGCAAAAAAGCATGATTCAGAAAGAAAATCATACTGTACTAAAGCTAGAAAAGAGTAGAGTCTAAAACAACTATACTACTAGAGTCTAAAAATAATAATGTTTAACCCTTAACTGGTCCGGCGTCGTCTGACAGACTACGCCAAATAATTAATTCATTCTCATTAGTTACTGGGACCGCCTACAGGATTGGCGTTCCAGCTAATCCTTCCCCTCTCTGTCAACGACTGATAGCCATATTTATGCCCAAACTAGATTAGTTTTTTAGAAGTTATGGCAGAAGATACTTAAGCCCTAGTCTCTCAGACGACGCCGGACCGTTTGTGTAAGATTTTGTGTGTGACAAACTTTCGTAAAATATGGCCGGGCCTTCGAAAAGAGTGCGTTTAGGAGACTCTAGTTATGTAGAAACTCTATTAAAATGATATGATGAGGACTGTGACAGTGACAATATGGCAATCTGCCAGACAAATGCGTTTGACAATGTCAAATATTCCAAGAGAAATATACTTTACAATTGGTAGAATACTTGCAATTCCTGTACAACCAGAACACGCCTATGGAGATATTCTTATCCTAGTTAAAGACAATGTTATGTCCTAGTTAATTATATTTAATGCCTAGAATGTACGAATCCATTTTGTAAAACATGTTCAGGAAAACAATGAACTTTGCCTCTTGCTGTAACTAAATACCTTTTCTTTAACTCCAGTTTTATAACTTATTTTTTTTATATATAGTATTAAAAACTTATTTCTATATTGTAAAGACTGTTAGTACTTTGGTTTTATTTTTTAGAGCTTAGTAAAAATCTAATTATTTTTTTTTCAAATTTATATGTATGTTACTTTATTTTGTACTATATTTTCTTAAAGTTTATATTAATTGAACCCATTTTTGTCTAGATTAGTTCAATACTACATAATATATATAATAAAATAAAGATTTTGTTATTTTTTAGTCTTTGTTTTTTTTTTAGTTTTTAGAAGGCGTAGTCCCACAGACTACGCCGGACCGTTTATGTTACATATCTATTACCGGACCAGTTAAGGGTTAAGTGATGGAAGTCCATAGTACATGTTTCATAAACATACTAGATTCATCCAGTGTTCCTGGCAGTATGATTAAAATTCAAGAAACTTTTATTCTTTTAGGTGTTGACTGGATATATGGATTTGTGTAGCGACCCAGAGATCTCTCCTTAGGCAAACCTGAAAGTACAAGCTTAAGTAGGTCTATGGTCATTAATACACAAATCTTGGTTATAGGAAAATATAATTTATAATTAATGTCACTGGGTGGGCAGTTCCACCTGTTTTTATTTATACAGGAATAATAATCCTGAAAAATATTTAGGAGATATTTATCCAGACTCTTTCAAATTTGTCCTGATTGTTGATAATCATGGATGTCACAGTTCCGTTGAGACAATAAAGCTTTGTACAAAAAATAGGACAGTGCTATTATTATTTCCACCACACGCTAGCCACTGAATGCAGCCACTAGATGTGAGAATATCCTTATTTTGCAGTAGTGCAAAATCACTCGTTTCTGTCGGACCCTGGCAAAATGATATTTCTTGTCAACATATTTATTTGCCGCCTTCAAAGACTTATTATTAAAGAAATATTACCAGTTCACTCAAACCAACCAGTCTATAGCCTGACATGATAATAAATAATAATTTTCCCCGGTAATTTTTCATTGATTATTCTTTATTCTAACTCTTTTTAGCGAATTCATTTCATCATTATTATTTTTGTTCTACAATCCTTTATAACAGGAACCTCGCAGGAACTAAAACTCTTGTATAAGAATATAGGCTATTAAAAAACAACCTGAAACAGACCCTGAAAGAGTTAAAACTGATCAAAGGATTTTGTTTTCTACGGATTGAATATTGAATTTTTGATAAATTAAAATCATGAAAAATAAGTTGGATAAAAAATTAAATAAATAAAAAGAACACAGAAGACAGAACAGAGACATGACACATGACAGAGACCACAGAGGAGCGGAAAGAGCTTATTCCTTTAGGGATGTGTCGGATGTCTGATATATCGATATCCTCGAAAAACTATAATAAAACGAGATTAAAGTCAGGGCAAGGATATATAGAAGAAGGATATTCAACTCCCTATAGCGGGCTATGTTGGAAAATATGCCGTATTTTGTCGAGGAAGACGATTTCGTCACGACCAATGAGCGTCGAGTATTTGAAATTGAAAACATATAAATTGACGGTAACCTATGTTTTTTGACTCATTGGGGTCACAATCCAACCCCAACATCGTGGTAATGGCACTCGCCAATGCCACAATTGTCAACTGTTCGGGCACTCTGCCACGAACTGTTTCTGTCCACCCCGCTGTGTTAAGTGTGACGGTCACCACAGCACCAAATCCTGCGAAAAAACAGCAGACACTGCCGCAGTTTGCACGAACTGTGAGTGAAATGAGTCAAAAAACATAGGTTACCGTCAATTTATATGTTTTCAATTTCAAATACTCGACGCTCATTGGTCGTGGCGAAATCGTCTTCCTCGACAAAATACGGCATATTTTCCAACATAGCCCGCTATAGGGAGTTGAATATCCTTCTTCTATATATCCTTGGTCGGGGTATAACCGAGGTCGGTACTACCTATTATTTTTCCTTCTACGAGTCATTCGTATTCAGAACAACCATATTATGTATAAGCAATTGGTAATATATAAATAATTGGTAAAGGCAAAGGTAAAGATGTGGATCCGGTGGCTGCCCTTGAAACGAGTTTTTGCTGCATATAGTCACAGATACTACATATGGGCACATCGTCGATGTTGCCAGATTGTAGGTTATTTTGGAATTATTTTCAGTAGAAAACAAATATGTTTTTGAGTGTTTTTTGTCAATATATTTAAGGTATGATAGGAAAAAACGGCATCCAGTTGGCTGGGAAATGACGATTGATGTTATTTCCCATGTAAATTTACATATAAAATGATAACGATCTTCATATTTCATAGTCATCGCTGACGCCATTTTTTTTTCGATCATACGGTATTAAAATTCATATACAAGGGTATTTTTTATTATAATATTATTATTATAAATAATAATATAATATATTATTATTATTATTTTAATATTTTGCAGAACACGTGAACACTTTTATTATGCATTTTCATAGTCAATAAAATTAGACAGAAGTAAAACTTTAGATTGCTTCTAATTGATTTAGATTATTCTATTACGTTTAAAAAATGCTTGATTAAAAATTCAATCATCAAATTAAAAGCGGTGTGTCCAAGTTTCTTCTTCTTTTTGAATTTTTAAATGCTGTAGCTCCATATAATGTTCACAATAGATAATAGGTTTTATATAACATTCCATTAAAACTGCGTAGGCCTTAAAAAGACCTTTTAGCCTCCGTAATTATACCTGTAGAATCAGCAATATTAATAGGTAGGTACCTTGTTTAATTCTGCTTATACATATATGGCATTAATTTTTCAGCTACTTTAAGATTTTTCAATTGTTACACCTAATTTATGTGATTTTTTTAGCATATATGATTTATAAACAATATTTTTCCTAATGGAAGGATATTCAAGTATTAAAATATCTTTTATCCTCCACCCCACAAAGCATACTATGTAGTAGGTATTAAGACATAAAAAAAATTATAAGAAACATATCTTAATATAAATCACAAACTAAAACTGTGCTAAAACTTAAGTTTTAAGTTGGTCCGTCTATAAATCTAATAAGATCAAAATGTGAACCCTCACCATATGAATATATTATCGAGATTTGGGCATTACAGGAAAGAAATTACAGTAAATTAAGAAAAGAATATTAAAGTACAGGATATTAAATACTGTAATGTATTCTACGACTCAAACCATATCGACCCTTCTAAAGAGAAAAAGATAAAACAAAACTTATTTTAATCATATAATCATTCTTTGATAAAATATATGCCTACAATTATTACTATTAATCCACTAACTTGGTATTTTTAAGAAATTATGATACAAACACTATAATCAAACTAGGCAAAATGTTACCTCTATCCATAGCTATCTCATTGATTTGTATTGTGTTGTAGCCTTTATACAAGGGTTGTAGGCTCGTCATGCGGTAGTACCACAGGTACTAGTATGATCGAAAAAAAATGGCGTCAGCGATGGCTATAAAATGAACAGCTTATGCTTTATTCTTTATATTATATTTCTAACGATGACAAAAGGCGTCCACAGGGATGCCATACTAGGTCCGCTTCTCTGGAATATTTGTTACGACGGACTTCTCGAACTTCAATTTCTCTATGGAACTTAAAGCACTGGCCGACGCTGCTAATATCGCTCTAATTATTAGAGATGGAAATGCAGAGGAAATAATTACGATAGCAGGAGCAGGCAACGGTAGAGAAGTATGTTCCTGAATAGAAGAGGTGGGGTTGAAAATTTCCCCTCATAAAACAGAATGTGTTGCTATAGTCGAGGTGGCAAACTATCAGGCCGGGATATTTTAGTAAAGGACAAAGCCATTATGCTTAAAAGTACAATAAAAAATAAAATACTTTAATGGAGTGACATATTTTTGAAAAGGTTTAAAATTACCTTTCCAAAAATATGTAATCAAGGTTTAAAAAAAATTAAAAAATCAAATTTTCTGTTGATAATTCTTAAATTATTAATTTAAAAAATATATACTTAAACCATTAAATTCTGTGAAAAAAGGTGCTTTGGAAATTTTTTCATAAAATTACAAAATTTTCCATAGCTAGCAGAAAAGTTACAGCGATTTGTTGAAAATGCACATTTTTGAAAAACTTTGTAACTCCTAAACCACACCTAAACGGTAACAGACATCGATGTGCGGTTTTCACCATCATGTTTTTACTTTCTTCTTTATGATATTACTTTTCGTCTATCTCCTACAGAAAAAAATGTTTTTTTAATAAAATTTAATTTGAATTAAAATACGTTATAATGAAAACAGTAGTTAAACCATTGTCTATACTGTAATATATATTTTTATATAATATGTATAGAGTTAAACCATAAGAAGCTAATTATAATTAAATTTATTTTTAAAGTTTATTAAAATATAATTTTATATTAGGCAGCGTAACTAACAAATAAAATGTATTGCAATTAAAAATGCCTTATAGATAAATAGATAGATAGATAAACTGTTTTTTATTTCAAAATTACATTTTACAAACAAAAAAGTGAAATATCCTCACAACAAAAATAGAAAAATAATAATATACAATTTGCAGTGGCGGATACAGAGGGGGACCCATGGGACCAAGTCCCCCCTAAAATCTATAAATTGGGTTAAATTAAAAAAGGCTTTTTGGTTAAAAATGGCGCTCTAAAAAGCATATTCTACATTATGTTTTATTTGCCCCCCCCCCCTAAAATAAAATCCTGTACCTGTAAAATATATATCATGTACCATAAATTACAAATTCTAACCCTCTGTGCATTCCACAATATCTACATACTTAAGTATATAATCTCCCATACAATATGGCTCTAACTGCAGCATCAACTTTTTAAGATCCTGTATAAACAGGTAAGTCGTTATTTAACTTTATTATACAAGATGCTACAAATTTGAGGTACGAGCATTTTGGTATCTCTTATGGAGGGCTTAAAAAAGGAGATTTATCGGCAATGGGCAAATTTGAAATTTCTGTCCCCACTTTTAAGCAGCTTCCTCGGTTTGACAGCAGAGGCACTGCGATCGACTGGGATACTACATTTTCATTGTTAGTATACGATTTAATTGTGTTTTTAATAAAATTTATAGTTAATTTACTGAATTTTTAGCAGTGAAATAAGTTGGTACAACTGGAACGCATAGCAGGAAATCTTTGAATAAGAAGACTAAGGAAGGAGCATATCAAAAACCTTAGGTACACCGCGATGGGCCTCAAATATGGCCGACTTAAATTCCGGTTTATCAGTGTCGTTCTAATTTTATTTAAAAAATGTAAAACTATGATGTAGGGTAGACGTGGGGTAGACTCAATAATTTGTTGTTTTTATTTTACGTTGTGAATAAATGTTGGTAGTTATTAAAATTGTTATAAAATATATAATTCTAATAAAAATAGATAAGTTATAATAAGTATTTATTAACACAAACATCCGATACGCTACTGAAGCAGGTAAGTCAAATTAACGTATCTAAATTCTTTGACATCTAATCTTTGACAAGTAATAAATAAAAGCTAAAAATGCAAGAAAAATATATAATTTAGTTAATTTAAGTGAATTTCATAAATGATCGGTTTACTACACGTATGTATATTATATGTATAGTCACTTACTAGCGAAAAGTTGTTCCATTATTTCACTCAATTTTTGCCGAGATCTACCGCACGCTACACAACCAACTATTTTAGAGTCTTTTTCGATAAATCGCGATAGTGTCACTGTTAATTTAAGTTCTGCCACAATTTCCATCTAGATTTACTACCTTTATACAACTATCAGTAGTAGAATAAATAACATAAAATAAGCTCCGTAAAGACTGACAAATCCACAAAATTTCAAATCAAATTCAAATGTGTCAAATGAATCGTCAAACAGAACTGTCAAGGATCCCCACCCTAGAGAGCTTTTATGGTGGCTTTTCCGCCCACCATGCATGGATACATGGATAGCATTATGCTCCTTCCTTAGTCTTCTTATTCAAAGCAGGAAATTAATATATTTAAAATTTGACTGACAAGGACAAGTGATTACTTCAAAATATTGTGAAAAAAACTGTATAAAACTGAAAAAATGTAATCGAGTTATTTTATTTAATAAAAAACGGTATGTGTTAATACAAAACAAACAAGAACAAGACGCCACACAAAAATATAAAAAAGAACTATTTCTTACTTTCAAGCTTTATGAAACTTCCCGCATTTATAATTATATTTATCAATATAACTTATGTACAAATACAAATTTGTAATATTCCGCAGGAATAAAT